AAAGGAGAGGAGATGAGGAAGATGAGGGAAGTGACAAGCGATGTGTGAGAAAGGAGGAAAACAGAAGGGAGTGGAGGGAGGAAGAAGGGCTAAACCATTGTCTGCCGTCTGCAGCCGGCGCGAGAACAGAGGAGGAGCTCGGTCGTCTAGTCCTCGCTGACCTCTGGCTCAGGAGAGCAGCCGCAAAAGGAAAACAGAGATGCCACGCAGAGCATCAGGTTGGCTTCTGCAAACCTTTCCCCATATGTTTACACATTTAATTCAACTTTTTAAATTTTTGCTCACAGGAAAGGCAACCGTATATATATATTTTTTTTAACTTTTATTTCTACTGATCACTTTGAAAAGCACCTTGTGGGATTTTAAATGTTCATTTATAGTATAAAACATAAGGGAGTACAATCACACTATTAAACTTAAATGTCAGATGATTCATAATTGTATTAACTTTCAATATTTGTATTATTTCTAAGTAGAGAATTAGAGTATTTCCTCATATAAGAAATTAAAAACAAATACTTTAGAAGACTATTTTAAAAATACAGGTCCAAGGACAAAAACGTAAGTACAACATACATTTGTGATCTCTAATTACTATTAACCGCCTAACAATCACCAGATAAATCGAAAACTCAGCATGTAAGGTTGCACAACGATGGAAAAGCTTTCAGGAAGATCAGTGACTGACTAAAAATCTGATAAAACACGGTGGCAGCTGTAATAACAAGGTACACAACAAACCTACTAGTAATCAGAGCAGCAGAGGTCATCCTCCAGAAATGATGCCACAGACAGTCCAGGCTGAACACTTGGCTCAGGGGTTATCGACGTAAATCTGCATTTCTGTGACAGCTCAGATATATTGACATCCTGTCCAAGTATAAAGCTGGCGTGATCTGGCCAGGACTACCACAGTGAATGCATAGTCCTGACAGTGAAGCACTCGTGGTGGGAGTGTGATGTAAAAGGTGTTGGCATTTATAAATGGCACCGTGAATGTCTGTGGATCACCGTCTGACAAGATGACTCCCAGTCTGCAAAGGCTTGGCGGTAGAGGAGTATTACAGAGTGATAACGATCCACAGCACGCTGCCAAAATCGCACAAGAGTTCCTGAACGAGTAAAAAGTGAAAGTGTTCTTACTTGCGTTGTGTACTGAATGCTTTCCACTCCTTCTAGGGAGTGTTTGGTTCATTTAATCAAAGTATAAAAGTTAACATGAAGAGACTTGAAATCTGCTTAAGATTGGTAAACGTATGTAAATGTTTTGGCCAAACCAATCAATTGATTACCTTCTAAATATCAGACAGCAAAAGCCGGCAGCTTCACTTTGCTGTTTCCATCTGGATTCCAGTCTAAACCAGCTGGGTACTGTCCTCTATGTTCAAACAAAAAACAACCAGTAAAGCAGTTTCAGACTAAAGCTCCACACAGGATATGACTGTAGGGTCCCAGACTGAGAGGATCAGCTCCTCAATATACCCTCCTCAGGGCAACTTATGAGCTAGAGACCACAGCGACCCTGGTGAAGGAAATTGGCATTAGAGCAAATTAAAAAAAAGAGGACACAAAGAGGCAGAGGGAGAAAGCAAGAGACGGCTAAGTCAGGCACTGCCAGGAGAGGAAGGACTGGGCGAGAAGCGAGCAGAACTAAGGGGATGAAAGGTGAACGATGGGAGGTTTGTTCACTGCGTCCTTTGAGGCCGAGCTGTGCAGGGCAGCAGGTTGTGTCTTGTCAGTGGAACAGTCTTGACACGTTGCAGGAAACATATATTGTTTCGTACAAGCTGTTTCCCCCTAATAATAAGAAAAAAGGACTGGACAATCCTTGAGGTGGGGGGCTGTCCCATTTACCCAGAGACAAATGGCTCCGAACGGTGAGAAAGTGCCCTGCTAAAAAACAAACTAATAAATTGTGTGGGAGAAACGCTCGGGGTTATCAATCATCCTCCAGCACTCGGCTTTCTGGCAGGTTCTTGGCTGCTGGGCGCTGTGACCTCAAAGGAAGGCCTGGTGGCCCGCCGCTTTACTGTACGGGACGCTACGGCAGGAATCAGGCACGTATACCTAAGAGCCACTTCAACTAATCTGATCGAGCTAACAAACGCCCGCGCCAGTTCTCCTGAGAGACACTTAATAGAGATTAATGGGCACTGCTGTACTGCTTCACATTCACAATACCTATGTTTCCAAAGACGTAAGGAACCAGATTGCTGTGACAAATCAGTGACGCCAGGACAAAAAATAGCACATTTACACCCTGCAATTACGTACTTGTTCTGAATGTGCTTGAAACTACATTTTACAGCGACTTAATCCATCGTATATTTGCAAGAGGGCGTGCTCAAGTAGATGCAACTCGACTTGTTGCAGGAAGAGCTGTGCACCTGTGTTTAGTAGCAAGTGCTGCGTATAGAGTATTTCATTCAGTGATTCAACATTTTACTTTAACTGTTAAACCAATGTGTACTTTTCTTGCCCTGAATCTTGAACATAAGTGCATCCATACGTAAAAAAACGAGAAAAAAAAGGATCTACAGTACATAAATACTCCTTTATCTGGATATAAGACGCATCTTTATCTGTTTAAAAGGGACATCAGGTTTTTAAAAGTTCAAATAATGGAATATTCTTACTGAGAACACGCAGCCTCTTGTGTCAAGTTAAAATAGACGCACTGATGCAACTAAACAAGCACCACACCAGTATACTCGTTAAAACAAACTTAGGTGAAGATAAAAAGTTGTGTATGCCCAAATTGTGGCCAAACAAGAGATAGTAGTAATACACCCTCCTTAGAGACGGCGTAGCGTTTCTAAATGTGGAGCAGATACCTCAATTAACCCTGTGCATTTCCTGGCAATAATGGCTTGTCCAGGAACTCACTGTCATTAGATAAGGCTAAGATAAGAAGAAATATCTCATTTAGTGTGTAGCTAGAACAAAAAAAAAAGGATAAATTTAGCACAGAACAACATGTTTTCTTCATTGTTGCTATAGATGTTATGGATTTGTGAGTCCGCGTGCATGAATTGGACGACTTTGTTGAGGCCTTGAGCTAATTGCTGTTTAGTACGCGGTGGGAAATGTCTGTTAAGGGAACACTTAGCGGAGCATGTGAACAAACCGCTGGACAGTTAGTGCTCCGGACAGTTCAGTTGAAAAGAGGTCAGATCAGAGTGATACCGTCGCAGCATTTCCGCTGCCCCACTTACATAATTTCCCACTTTGCCGCTACACATTAACAATATATGACGAAAAACACGCAGAAAAATTAAAACAAAAGCGATGCCAGGGCTGTAATCAGGACAGCTGACCTGCTGAACGCTGCCAGCTGGATCACAAAGCCAACAGGCTCGGGGATTTTCTGTACATTGAGGTGGGGGTCAGTGGTGGCAGGAAACATGGTTTTGTTCATCTCAAGTGCCAAAGGAACACTTTGTAGGTTTGAGGAAGGTCACAACACAAAACAACACTACAGGGTACAATTCAACTGGCAGGTCCCTTTAGGGCAACACGCTGGAGGGATTCCAGCTTTGATGCTGGAGCAACAGCTTGTATGCTAGTGAAAAACCCAGAGGCAGCGCCTTTACTGGGTTCACATATTTTGATACGGTGACAAATGTTAATTCCTGTTGTCTTAGGAAGCACAGGAAGAAAGGTGTGTGTCCTGAATGGCCAAACTGGGACCCTTTTGTTTTGTTAAGATGCTGCATCAGCGATTTCCAGCTATTTGACTGTGGAGGCTTTGAACGCTGAAAAGAACAGAGCCGAGCTGGACTCTTGTTAGCCGACCAGCCAAATGCCAGCCAGACCACCGGCTCCGGGGCCTGAATGAGAGGCAGGTGGGAGGTCCGGGAAGGTGGGGAGACAGGCTGATTTCCAATTAAAAACAAGCGAGGTGGGAGCGAGATGAAAAAGTAATTTGCAACTAAAGTCACAAACACTGGCAACCAGTGGCGACCTTCATTATACGTCAGTCTGATCATTACATACTCGATCAATCATTTTGCTGGTAAAATGTGACACAATTGTTCAATAACACCTGCCAACATTTCCAGCAATCAAAAAGAAAAAAAAGCAGCACCAAATCCTCACATTAGAAAAGCTATTATGAAAGAATGTTTGGCATTTTGACTCAAGAAGTGACTCAGACAAGGTACTTATCCATAAAAACAGTCATCTAATTGCCCAATTGTTTCCGTTTTTTTCTGATTTGAGATTTAAAGTAAGGAACTAAGGCACACTGATGCTTTACGGAAAGAAGAGGAGTAACACAGAAGCAGGAAAATCCCGCTAACTCATCTCACATGTGAGAGATTATCAGCTGAACACATGGCTGTGAAGTGTGTGTGTGTTGTAGTGGTACTACTCTGTTCTTCCCCCTCTGGACAGCAGGAAGCTGAGAAGCGTGCAGGCAGGCAGGCAGGCAGACACTTGGGTCAGCTCCAGCAGGAAGTATCTGGGCCGGGCTGAGGCTGGATGAGATGTGCTTCATCCATATTATATACAACACACTCTTTTCCTATGCCCGCCCCTCCTACCGCTTCCCCTCCGACGTTGCCCCTCCCTGTACTTCTGAACAATCTGCCAGTATCATCAAAAACACAAGCCATACATCACCGCGATTACACACGCGTGCATTCTCACACAAAGACGCGGATGTTTGACACAGCGGGCCGCCAAAAGGGACAGAAAAGTGATTTTGCTATTATTAGTGTATGGTCCCATTCTATTATTATTACAATGATGATGATGGTCCATTTTCTAATGGCTAAACCATGCAGCTGCTGATGGGATAAAAACAAGCACATAACAGATCCCAAAATAAAGCCCCCAACATCCTGACAACAAGATTCTTTAGACATTCCAGCTGTGTGCCGGGAGTCAAATCTAGGGGAAAGATGATTACATGTACTGTATGTGGAAAGTGGATCGACACAGTGTGTGTGTGTCGGTGTGTGTGTGTGTGTGTGTGTGTGTGTGTGCATTAAACCCACCCTCCTCTTCAGGCGATCCCTCTCCCTCAGTGTCAGTGTGTCAGCCTTGGCGATGACTGGGACGATGTTAACTTTGCTGTGGATGGCCTTCATAAACTCCACGTCCAGCGGCTTTAAACTGGGGAAGGAAAAAAAAAAAAAAAGGGAACAGGAAGGGCAATTAGGACACAATGAAAACCAGAGAGGGCATCAGCTTTGAGATGAAAGAAAACGAGAAAGTGGGTGAAACTGCGCTGCAATGACATGAAAGCGCTGCGAGACAATGCAGAACTAGCAGGGAAGTACAGTTCTGACAATACGCCATAAAAAAAAAAAGTGCTGATGCTGTGATATTAGCATGTAGCTGACTAAAGAGTCTTTAAATGAGGAAGGGTGTGTCATGAATGTAAAGTCGTGACTTTGCTCACCCGTGTCCGAATGGAGAAATGAAGTAGAAGCAGCAGTGCACCCTGTTGTCCACTATGTGTCTTCGGTTCAGGCCGCTCTCATCGTGGAGGTAGCGCTCAAACTGATTGTCGATGTACTGGATGATGGTCTTGAAGCTGACGCCAAAAACAGACAGAAGAAACGCTTTTCCGTTAGCACCGACATTCATACATCAGAGCATTCTTGGAGGATCTTCATTGTCAAGGAGAAACGCGAGGAACACATTTAAACTGTTCAAAAAGCCTTTCGTAGGTTTAGGAGGGTTTGATATGAACATCCAGTTGTTTTAAAGCAAATACAGTAAGTAGTCTCACAAAATTAAACAAAAACATGCATTAATAAACTCCCTGGACTTCAATAAAGACTCATCAGAGTGTGGTTTTTATGTCACTGTTGTCATAAACTGTTTCCTGACATGTTCCTTCTAAACTCTGCTGAATAAACTGGAAAAAATGCAGGTGTTGGATTTAACAGCTGCTGTTTGCATAGTTGCTAAAAGTTGACATTTTTCTGCTCTGAGGTCATCACCTGACAGTCAGCTCTGAAATATCTCCTACAACATCAGCGATTACTTTTTGTAATTCTGAAACAGGAACAAACAGGAGATGAATTGTACACGCTGTTTCTGAGCAGTTGCTGTGATAACGAGTTAAAGTGATGAACGGCGGTTTCTGACTTCTGGACAAACGGCACAACATCACTCGTACGATGAATACTGTTTCTATTTTTGTCTGACTTACTGTGTAAAAATGAAAATGTTTTGCAAGCAGTACAGTTGTTTAACTTGTTAAAACCCATCAGACTATACCGGTTCTCTGTTTAATGTCAGAGTTTATGATGTGTTATAATGTGTGTGAATTTGAAATGCCTTATCAAATTTGGCTCAGTAGCTTTCATATCTAACATTAATAATCTGAATCTAAATCTATTGGGGAGGTGACAACACCAGATTCTGCAGAGAAAGCAAAGACAAAGTGCCTGTTTTTTCTACAAATGTGTATCTTCTATAGCTTTTCTTCTTCTTAGTAGCCTATGAGCGATTTCACGACAACCAACAGATCTTGGATAGGGAGTCTGCAATGACAGCACTATCACACACAAAGAGTACACTAGAATCTAGACACAGGGAATGCAGAGGGAGGCGAGGTAGGAAATAAGGAGTTTGGGATGAAACATGAGAAAGGGAGCGGTAGAGGACAGGAGGGAAGGACCAGAGAGCATGCTGGACATGTCTCGAGTTTGCTATCACTCCTCCGCAGCACATAAACACACCAGTCCTGGCTGTTGATGGCGTCGCCGTAACCAGGGGTGTCGACAACGGTGAGACGGAGCTTCACTCCTCTCTCCTCGATTTCCACAGTCGACGCTTCGATCTGCACCGTCCTCTCAATCTTCTCTGTGGGGTCAAAGCAGGAGAAAACATCAAAGAAGGTGGAAAATGAAATCATGGGTTTTGTCATCTAAAAGGGATATTTTCCAATCTACACGAACTGACCAGGGAGGGCCGGGATAATTGTTTTCAAGCCAGACCAAGTCCTAATCTAAGTCGAGTCATAAGAAGGGCAGGGTCATATTTTGAGACTGCAAGCATTCCCAGCATTCCTCTTGAAATAATGCTCAGCTGGAGACATTGCAGCAGACATTTCTCTGTTATTACAGTGTGTGTGTGTGTGTGTGTGTGTGTGTTGTTGATCGTACCTGCAGCACCGGGGATGTAGCGCTCAGGGTAGAGATCAGTGAGAAACAGGCTGTTTATAAGTGTCGATTTTCCCAAACCAGACTCCCCTGAAAAACAACGAGATTAGAAAACAAATCTCTCCTCTCTAAATCATACAGTCTGCTTTAGGAGGCGAGAGTGGTCGCTCACCTACAACCATGAGAGTGAACTCAAACCCCTTTTTCACAGATTTCCGGTGCACTTGGTTCGGGAGGTTGGCGAATCCTACATAACCCGCTGTATCTGGGAACTATAGCGGACAAAAGGTAGAGATGTTGTATTATAAAAATATGCACAGCCTCACATCGTAGTGTTATGCAATGTTGGCGTTAAGGTATTTCCTACTCTCACTCTGTAAATCTAGTAAACAAGGCCTGCCTGACGTTTCTCATTATTTTATGAGGTGTACGTTTAAAGGCGCAGGTCAGTGCATAAGAGTGAGATTAATGATGATGATGCATATCGTTGTAGAAATTCCAACAGGCAATAAAGGCTGGCCATGAAACACTTGAATTTATACAGGATATCCTCTCTGGATGCTTGTGTATGCGTGTGTGCATGAGATTACAAGTACCATGCCTATGAATCACCGGTGCCTTCTTACAAAGCCCTCCTGCCTTCGATCTGTCACAGTTCAGTGTAATAGCTGTAATGTGGTGTTACTCACCTTCCCTTTCTCTCCAGACTGAGACATCGCTACTGTTTATGGGATTTCTGATGAGCCTGCAGGTGGGAGGAAAAATAAAAGGAGATATGGTTGTAAATGATATCAACTAAAAACCTTCCTCTTACTAGGTGCCTCCTCCAGTTAATGCTTTTCATATTGCTCATATATTGTGTTCACCCAGAGTAATGAATTCTGCAATCAATCATGCAGCATGTGAGAAGAAACTGTGATCACCTATAAAATATAATCATGGCTATAATGAGGTGCCAAATTAATTATAAAGATAATATCAGAAAAATGTGTGACCAACCGATATTGCTTTCTCACATATAAAAGGCAGGTCTAGCTTTTCTTCCCATTTTCAGCTTTTTTTAAAGGTTTTTTTAACCTCTGTTACACCAACAAGACAAATATGACACATTCACACTAAACTTAAACTGCACAGCTGTAGATAAATCCATATTTAGGTCAGATTTGAGGAATCTGTTGGGACTTTTTTCAGCAAAGCCAGAAGATTTTTTTTTTTTTTAATGGAAAGAATTTAAGGTGAGCCCTGTTAGATTTGTGATGGGAAAAGTGGATCAAATCACATGTGTAATTTTACAACACAATATTGATATATAGCAAAATATAACTTTCTGGGAGCTGCAAGGTGGCTCGGTGGTTAGCACTATTGCCTCGCAGCTAGAAGGTCGCCGGTTTGCGTCCCAGTGAGGACATCCGGGATCTTTCTGCGTGGAGTTTGCATGTTCTACCCAGGTTCTCTGGCTTCCTTCCACAGTCCAAAAATATGTTGAGGTTAATTGGTGATTCTAAATTGCCCTGTGACAGACTGTCGACCTGTCCAGGTGTCCCCTGCCTAAGCAGTGTATAGATAATGGATGGATGGATGGATGGATGGATGGATGGATGGATGGATGGATGGATGGATGGATAATTTTATGGAAAAAATGTCCATAGGAAAATCTAAATTTCTAAAATGACCCCCCAAAAAATAGTTTTCAGCTAATGCATCAGTCCCTGTCAAGCTGTGATTCTTCAATATCTTATTGATGTAAAAGTCATATTAAAAAACAAAAATCATAAAGTTTGTAGACAGTAATTTGTAGTATTGTTCAGACACATAAACCCAGAGAATTAGCAGGATAGGTGCAAAATTTAGTCCGTCTCTTGTGTAAACAGCCTTTGCAAGTCTTCACAACACATCCATTCATAAGACAGCAATTAGAGAAATGAACAAGCATCTCATATCTCCAGCGCTATTTACAAAAACACAACCCCGCCTGAGAATGTTTATACTGTAAACTCAAAATGATCTGCTGCACGTCGAGTGGATGTTCAGACGTTCATTCAAGGTGACTGCTGCTGCGTTCCTAGCGCTATCGCAAGGAAGGAGCAGAGATTACAGGCTGCGGGCAGCAAGTTGGTTCCCAGACTTCCATTAAACTGTTACGGTCTTGCGCACCCCGTGCTCCCGTCCCACTCGATGACCCGTAGCAGACGACAGAGCAACAATCCCTCTTGATAAATTAGCCACATAATGACTGAGCAGGAAGAACAGGCTCCGTTTTATCACCAACACACTGGCCCTTGACAGGTGGAGTGTGATAAGCATTAGAAAGAGGCAGGCTGCCGTGCGCTGCCAAACGGAGATTCACTCTGCTTATGTAACGGCGGGAAAGAGGTGGCATGGGAACCTGAGGTGACCGTTCTCTGCTGGAATTTGTGGATACTTGGGGAACAATTTCACACTGTTAAATGCATTAGATGGTAGTTGGGGGTCGCCCTCTGTATGAAAGCGGGCAGCGATCTCTCACACTGACAGGGTGGTTTCATCGAGCCCGCACCAATGGATGTTTATCCCGTTGGTTCCTGAAGAATTTCCTATAGGGTGGGGGGGAGCTCAGCTGAGGGAGGAGGGAGAACACGTGCCTCACCCCTGACAACATTTCAGGACCAACCGCATGCAGAACAACACCAATCATTTCGGGTGGAGGAGTGCCAGGTGGAGTCAAAGAGGGAGCGCGTACGAGGCCTCGTCAGGAAATAAACATTTAAAAACGGGTGAAAACATTCACGGACACACACACGAATGTTATGAAAACAACGACACTGATTTAGTTAAAGCGATTAGGACATGGAGGTATCAAACTTGGAAAAAAAAAAAAGTTAGTACCATTTTTTTGGAGATTATTACGATGCAATCCCCCGAGGAATATGAATCTCTGTACAAAATATGAACCAATGCATCTGTCTTATGTTGCACTATTTAGCTGGATATGTGACAACTCTGAGGAGGAGAAAAGGCCTCACCCAAGCCACTAAGACTCATCTTAACAGCACATCTATCTTCAAGACGAGCTAGAAAGCAAATCTTGAAGGAGACTGACCAACTGACCGACTCCCTGCCTACTGCTGCCGTCCCTAAAGCCGCTACGCCACTACAGCTCCATCGCTGGTTTCAAGCCTAAAAACACACAGATGAAAATAAATGTGTTTTGATTATTAATGAACGTCTGAGTTAGCGCGGCGGCCCACACAGGCTTATTCATGTGTATCACGCGCACACACACACCCCAAAGTGTTATTCCTCTTCAGGCTCTGTGGGAACCAGCATTAGTCCGGCAGCAGATTAATTAAACCGTTCCAATATCGCAGTTGTAATCTTACAAAGACAACACTACAGGACAGACAGGCGGGAGGCACACTTCAATAATACTCTCTTAATAATGGCCATTTAATCGGCCGGGCTGCTGAGCTGCTTACACACACATACACACGGGCATCAATGAGCCAGACGTGGGGGAGATTAAACAGTTTGGGCCAAAAGGGAAAAATGCCACCTTAGAAAAGCCAAAGTTCTTGGCATGTAATGCATTTACAGTTGATTTATTGGCTGGAGGGAAGCCATGAAGGGGCAGCAGCGCTAGTAGAACTATTCACCTTCCTGACAGGCAGTGTCAAGGGTCTGCACACCCGCTCTCCTCGGATTAAGGACTTTCTGCACTTATTGGAAACACTGAAACAATCATTTTACACCCTGGAGACTTTGTGAACTCGGTGGCATAACAACAGAAATGGTAATTTACTGGCAGCTGATCACAGCAACAGGGACCCCGGAGCTACCGAGTATAATAAAGTGATGTTTGGCTCATGCAAAGACTCGTAGACACACAACGACACCGAGACAGGGGGTCTCGACTGGAACTAAACAGCCCTATGGGGCAAAAGGTAGCGGTGGTCAGCTACAGCACTGTAATAAAGACATGATACTGTTTTCTAAGCTGCGGTTTTTGAAACACTTTAAAATATGAGCCCACAGAGAGGAAAAAAGCCACAATGGGCGGAATGAAAAAGCCTTTCAACCATGAGGAAACCAGCAGGCCTGTTTGCAACGCTGACAGAGTTTAAAGCACAGGATGGGCCGTTTATGATGATGTGGACAGGCTCGGAAATTACTAAAATCAAGTGGGAGTCATACAGCAACAAAATATTATCCCAGCAATGCCCACATAGCTGCTGTAAAGTACTGTTAAGTTTAAATGGGACAAAAAAAATAATCTTTTTTGTCATTCACTCCAATCCATTTGTTCATTCATTTATTTGCAATGTTCCTTCAATCAAACGGCCTTTTGTAGGGAAGAAAACCCCAAAACTAGATTATGTTACATTAACTTCATACACATTATGAAACAGTCAGTCAACAGAAAATTAATCTGAAGAGCAAAAAGCTAAAGATGAAGTAATTTCCTTCTTTAATGTGAGGAAGTACGACTGTTCCTGGTTTTATATTACAGTAAAGTTAATAAAGTTATTCTCTTGGTTATACTCCTGCAGCATTTTTACATATTTCTTTGGTGAACTATTAACTACTTAATCAAATAAATAAATTACATATTAAAGTTGGGAAATCAGACAATATTGTAGACTAAAGGAATTTGTCTACACTGCAGGCAGCAACTCACCTAATGTCCCCAAATACAACCACTGTGGTCAATGTTGAAAATCAGTAATCAAATGTTTGTATTAATATACGAAGACGCATTGACCCCATTATTTATAACACTGTGTGCAGTGTCTGCAGCACATGCAGCAGAATACAAATCACATCTGAGCAGATGGTGGTGCAGCGTCAAGCTGTGTCTTCACAGTAAGTTGCTAAGTAGTTTGTGAAATGCATCGCTGGGAAGACAACAAGCAGTGACCCCAAATCCAATATGTGTCCAGCTCTAGTTTATACGTCGAGTTATTTTATCTATAAATGGCTTCTTAGTTGCGGAAAATCACAGTTTTGCAAGTACTGTATGTCATGCCACTGCAAATTTTTATTTTATTTATTTATTTATTTTAATAATCTGCCTTTGTTTTTTTATTTATATATATTTTTGGGGCTTTTTTGCCTTTATTTAGAGCAGTAGAGACAGACAGGAAAGGGGGAGAAGAATGGGGAGAGACCTGCAGCAAAGGGTCGGGGAACTATAGCCCCTGTTCATGGGTCACCTGCTCAGCTAGGTGAGCCATAGGGGCGCCCTGCCACTGCAAATGTTATCCATATAATCTAACCCCACAAAATATTTTTAAGATTTAAAAAAACAAGTGTGAGTTGCAGTCCTAAAATTAAGTAATCACAATCTCATCCTACTGAGCGAGGACCACAATATATAGAGCAAATCAAATGGCCGCTGTGCCCATTTTCCTGTTATCACAGTAAAACGGGCACCTGTAGAGATGAGGGTTATTTATAACGTGTGTTTGTTCATGCAGTTTTCCACACACAGCCTGGTGAATCAAAGGTATCCTGCTGCGCAACATCATCATTCAACCCTCTGACACAATGGTCCACGTCCACTTGGTTCCATCAAAGTGAATGAAGTTTTGTTTTTTCCATTCACGCCGCGGCGCAAAACGGGAGGAAACATCCCCTTGTAGTTCACAGCGTCAGACAGATGTCTTCCCTGGCGCTCGTGTGCTGGACGATGGCGTTGGCGAGATAAGGTCGCAGGAAGGGGAAAGGTCAGGGAGCGGTGAAGGTGCTGAATCAGAGGTCTGAGACGTCTTTCGATACCAAGAGATGTTGTTCTTCTGATATCAAACTGTTCTCTGTCCAGCTGGATAAAAAGTGAAGTCATTTTCAGAGCTGCAGGGCAGCTGCCAGCCTGAGATTACAGCCTGCTTCGTCTGCCATCGTGCTCGCAGCGTTCAACACTCAGCAAGAAAAGGAAGTGAAATATGCATGTTTTCACTGGGCAAAAAACACAAGCAAAAGATGGATGATAATTCTTCAATAGTGGCCCTCCGCCACATCTGAGACAGACACATAATGAGAATATGTTATTGTTTCCCACTGTTATTGTTAGCTTGTCTGGACGCAAAATTTATCTTCGAGCAAATGCAGTTTACAATCATAGGTCAAGGACTAATCAGATGCTAGAAAGCAGAGTTCAAGAAGGGTCCACAAGAAGGCTTTACAGGAACTCTGCTCTGAATGGCACGTCTATGCAGATTGGATATAGGCACTGATTTAGGAGATACGTGGGCCTATTGAAGTGTAGAGTTTCCCTGCTGTAACCAGACATGAACTGGGACAATGGGGCAATAACTGAGTTCAAAGCACAACAACAAAAAAAAGAAAAGAAAAAAAAAGGGTATTTGGCCATCATTACTGTTTGGAAAAGCTGAAGAGAAGGAAATGTTTATTTGGACAGTTGTGTCAAGTAATAAGGGAGACTATAAAACAATGCTTTAGTGACTGGCCAGGGGAGTTTGAAACGTGTGTGAAGGCCTCAGTGTCTAACAGTCAGATGTCCACCACACCCAGTCTGTCAGACACCAAACATCAACTGGGACAATGACACCAGACTGTGAGCGCGCACCGCTCAGGCCGAACACCGCCGCGCGTTTAAATGACTTTACTCCTTTGAAACTACTTTGATAGACTCGTTTGGACCCAAACAAAGTAAAGAAACTGTGTTAACGTGACATGTCAAACTTTAGCATGCAACAGTTGTTACCGCGGCTGGTGTCATGTTGCCAGCGAGACTTTAACCGACTGTCCGGCGTGTCCTCTTCCCCCAGAGTCCGACAGTTTTTAACTTAAGAGACACAACAACAAACAACCGAGCAGTGCCTTACCTGTCCGTAACTTTGAAATATCGTTAATAGCCGGAGCTTTTCGCCTCTCGCCGCTGTCCCAGCCCAGGAAGGGAAACCCGGAAAGCGCTTCCCTGAGTCCGCCCTCGTCCCTCAAGCTTTTTCATTGCCAACGGCTTGTCCTGCCGCGCCACTGACGCCATTACGGCTCAAGGTTCAGGACGGCTGCGGCGTAGAACAACAATGCCTGTCAGATCCAAGATGGCTGCTGCAGTATTGCAGTTTCTTTTAACTTTGGCTTTGTCGCGGACTGCCCTGTCTGCCGACTTCGTGGGAAATGTTGAATGTATTGTTGTAGACGTATTTTAAATTAGATTTAAAAAAAAAAATAAAAAATCTTGGCTGCTAACTCGTAATAAAAAACATAATTATACAAATCTTGGCTATAGGGTCAAATAATGTTGTCTTCTGTTTCAAAATACACTGTAAGGATCATGCCCATAATTGTGCCCATAAATAATTTAAATCAGGCAAACCAAACGGCTAAAAGTACGTATTGTTAATTACAAATATTTAGGTTACACACACTATAATTTTGAGGCTCTTGTATTTGTGTATTTCTATTTTATTTTAAGCTTCTTTATTTTACTTCACTATATTGATGGAATAATGTTGTCATTAGAGGACACATTCCCATATTTCCCAGCATACATTAACATAACAAAGTGGTTTAAATTAGTATTGTTTACACTGTGGTAGTATCACTGTATATTCTAAAACGTCTTCCAAGTCCAAACAAAAACTGTTGCACCGGAGTAAACCTATAGGCTATGTGGATTTTATTTAAAATGTTAATTATCCCAACCCAATATACAAGCATCATCAAGACCAACACATTTATTGTTTCAATAACATCCCTTACAAGTCATTACATTTCACAAATAAGGCTTTTTGTTGTTGTTGTTGTTGTTGTAGGTAGGTAGTGCATAATCCTCCACTAGAGCCACAAATAATTTTAAAGCAGCTAAAACAAAAACAAGAAAATGGCAGGAAGATATAAGAAATGATAAACAACAACAATAACAACAAAAAAGTTCATTTAAAAGAATGAAAATAATTTTAAAAACACACACAAGTAATTTTAAATATGAAATGAAGGTAAAATTAATCTAATGCATGAATAACATCATTAACAAATGTGATGATAAATTAAGGCAGAGAGTCCCGGTCCCTTAAGGCTGTAAAAACTGCTTGTATGTCAAACAAATATGACATTTTACTGTCTTTCTTGTTTTATGACACCCAAGATATCCAGATAAGAATCTCATACACATCAGAATGAGCCCATGTGTGCCACAGACAAGTGACATCAGCCTCCATGTCTGAAAAATCAATAACAAGAGCAGTGATTCACCAAACCTCTGCATTTCAGCTGCTCCATAACCTTAAAACACCCTTAATTCCCCCTTCCCATAAAGGCCCTTCACCCCTCTCCTGCCCCCCTCTATTCATTGTAAATAACTGTTCAAACGCACAATGCGCTCTGGACCGCTTTATTCAGTCGCACAACTTCCCTGCGCTTTCATTGGTCCTTTGAGGATGCGGCGGCAGCGGATTGGAGGAAAGTTTCTCCTCGAGTCCACACACCCCCACCCCGCAGATATTCGTGGTCCGGTGCTACTGTGATTCCAGTTGTTTTCACATCCCCTCACTAACAAAGAGACTCGGAGCTGCTGTCTTACATCTCTGAGTAAATGTGGTGAGTGATGCGCAACTAACGACTGACGCTCCTGCACACCGAGGTGAGAACGAAGAAACAAAGAGCAGAAAGACACCTTGCTCTCAAGAAGAGAGCTCAGAGGAGAGATTATCAAACTTCAGACAGACTTGATTGAACGTAAAAAGTGAAAATGGTGTCGGCCGGACTGGAGATCTTGGGACTGTCGCTGTGCGTAATTGGCTCGCTCCTGGTGATGGTTGCTTGCGGGCTGCCCATGTGGAAGGTGACGGCTTTCATCGAGGCCAACATCGTGGTGGCTCAGACGATCTGGGACGGCTTGTGGATGTCGTGTGTGGTGCAGAGCACGGGCCAGATGCAGTGCAAGGTGCACGACTCCGTCCTCGCCCTCAGCCACGACCTGCAGGCGGCCAGAGCGCTCACCATCATCTCGTCGGTGATGGGCGTGCTGGGGCTCATGGTGGTGATCGCGGGGGCGCAGTGCACCAACTGCATCCGCGCTGAGTACGTCAAAGCCCGGGTGGTGAACGCCGGAGGGGTCATCTACATCATCAGTGGCCTGTTTGTGCTGGTTCCGCTGTGCTGGATGGCCAACAACATCATATCGGACTTCTACAATCCACAGGTGCCCGCATCCAAGAAGAGGGAGATCGGCGCTGCGCTCTACATCGGCTGGGCGGCCACGGCGCTGCTGCTGATCGGAGGAGCGCTGCTGTGCTGCTCCTGTCCCTCCAGCGGGAACTCGGGATACTCGGTAAAATACGCACCGACCAAGAGAGCCACGCAGAACGGGGACTATGACAAGAGGAATTATGTGTAGCTGCGCGGCTCGTAGCAGGCGGTGCGTAATGACCTGCAGCTTCTGAAAAAACTGTTTGTTTTTTACGGACGTTATCTTTGCACCTGCATTTTTTTTTTGTTTGTTTTTTAGAAATTTGAACTTTGAAAATCAATGGAAGCACCTCTGCTGTTTTTACACTGGCCCTTCACTATGCTCGGACCATGAATTCACACATCCTTTTTGTGTCTACAGGAGATTAAAGAAGAAGAAAAAAAAAGACTATCAACGACAAGAGGTAGCTCACAGACAAAAAGGAGTATCTTTGTTAGGTACCTGCTTTTGTAAATCTTCGAAATTATTAGTATTTTGAATTGTTTACCGTTGTAACTGCAAAGGTTTTCTTCTCTTGAGAAACTCTTGCCACCGAAAATAAACACTGTTCTTTCGCCTTGATGTGCATTGTCAGCACACACTTGTACAGTAACTGAGAATGTTTGCACTCCCACACGTTCAGCTTCCTTTAGGGGGAACTACGCCGACATGTTGACAATAAAAAAAAGTTCAATAACAATAAAGAGCGACGAAGAAAAGTGCATACATGTAAATGCCAGACGAGCTTTTTGTGTTGTTCTGAAGTTTGCAGTCTAACTTTGGACCTGTGGATCTCGGAGATCCTGGGATTTGTAGGTCAAAACATGATACATGTACAGTCCGTTATTCGGCCGCACTGAGCACCTGCAATAGTTTTTGCATCATTGTCCCTGCAGGGAGTCTCTTGTCTTTTCACAAATTCCAGGAATAAACTCTGTTTTCTGTTGGTATTTTTTGATGTAATGATTCATTATTCATGTATACGAAGATGCAATACTGTTTCCTTTTATTAAGATTAAAGTGAATATATTGTCTGAAATCTTTAGCGTGTGTTCTTCAAACTGCGGGTTGTGACCGTGTGCGCAGGCAGGCAGGCAGCAGTGCCCTCCGCCGCCGTGCGTAATACATGCCGTTCCCACCATGAATCCATAAACCAACCCCCACGGCGGGAGAAAGTATTTTGGTTAGCCATAGAAATCCAGATGACAATGCCCATTCAGCTAGAGTGGGGCTCTGCTGTTCAACTCACAATACTCACCCCCACCAGCCGCCTCCCCTTCCAAACCTCTCCCCCCTCCCCTCCTCATCCGCAGTCAGTGAAAGGCGTTCAAATTAAAGCTATGGAGAAGCTGCTGGAATCGTCTTCCTGCAAGTCACTGCATTCATTCATTAGTCGCCACAAAACTCCAGCAGCACGGTGCCTTGACAAATGACCACTTTGACGCAGTTTGTCCACATCACGGGCGCAACATTTACGCAAACACTGGGGATGATATTGCAATATTATAGTAAAGTTACAGGATTGTTTGACTTGTGGCAGAAAAACACAATATCACAGGATATTTCAGTGTCTGAGTAACAGCGGTCTGATTCAAAACTGTGACTGGATTACAAAAGCTTATCCATACTTGTTTTGCTGGTGACTTAAGAACCTTAGCAGGTCATATGCCCTCTTAGAAGTTGAAATTATGGCCACACAGAAAAGTCTGCATACAGTCAGGAGAACGCATGATCAGGAGAACTTCTGGTCAAATGATAACCAAGGCTGCAGATCCTCCACATCCAGAACAAAGACTCTCCTGCTTGTTTGTTATTGTTTGGCATGAGGAGACAATTCAAGTTATGATATTAGGGTGAGGTCATTTTCCAGAGTTTATCACCAGGTTTTCCTTTGTGGTTGGAGTTTGCTTGGTTGTCATGGAGACAAATCTGTTGACATGCAGACATCTCCACAGTGTTGGCTTCAAAAGTTATGGGTCAAAATCCATTCTTGGCCTTAAAAATAGTAGTTTGACAAAATAATCCCTAATTTACAAGCATGTTTCTTCTTGTGAAAGCTGTGATAAAAGCTAGAAGGGCTTTAGGTTTGTCAAAATATATCACAAATATTGATTATATGATCTGTCCAAGGGGTAGAATGAGCTCACATAAAGAGATTAATAAGAGGAAATTAATTAACTAACCAGAAACCAGTTTCATTAGAAAAAAACCCCCCTGAAAAATCATACTTCCCTGCTTAGAAAATGTTAATATTTGCAGGTTTATTAGTCGTCTTTGATATTAAATTCAATCTCTTTGGGTTTTAGAGTGTTCATCATACAAAATCTATGCAGTTTGAAAGACAAAATTAAACATTGCATTGAGAAAATAACTTCAGATAATTGGTACCTGTATCCCCACGTTAACATTCAGTCACTCTCAGGGAAGTAATGGTTCTTTAATGATTCTTCAAGGCAGCATTATCAGCTGAAGCACCTCTTGATTTAGGTCGTTGTTGTTCTCATACTTCACGTAGTTCTATAAAGTATTACAGGTTCATCATTTAATTGGAGTTTTGTGGTTTGG